GCGCGATTTGGCATGCACGAGTGAACTTGGTCGCCAGCATTTACATATTTACACACATTTATTACTCGTTAATTAGTGCTATTGTTGTTTTGCAAAATTGCTGATAAGCGCCTAATTTGATTATCAGCGCAGACATTTGTCTGTGAGTCAGGCAAGCAAAACTGATTAAATGTTGAGGCCCATTTAGGTCAACATGGCAATATCTTAATTGGAACAGAACTTATAGACGTTTGGCTATGCCAACGAGTTCACAGCAAGAATAATGCAAATGGGAAATATGTTGTTAATTGTTAAACCTATTGATATTTAGCACAAATTCCAAAACTGGTCGCGCAGCACAGTCATGATTCGATTTGCGTTTGCCGTCTAATCAAAATGCCGGCTCAGAGGCTGGAGTTGTTGCCGTTGCCGGAGGCGCGTGTGCACTTCACGAGCAGCTTGACACCCGTTCGACAAGAATGCCAAACAGCCCGCTGAAGGTAGACCACTTTCAAGCACAGCACAGCACAGCACGCAACCAGCTTAAGCCAAGAACAGCCGGCTAATATGGCTGAATATTTTTCTAACACTGCGCCGGATATTGTGGACTGGTTCAAGTGCTTGTAGCACATGTATGAATTGAATGAAAAATGGATCACAACTTAAGTCTTACTTTTCTTATACCCAACGAATACATTGAAGGGTATTATGGTTTTAGGAATACTCATTTAGCATCTCCGATCGAAAACAAGTACACGTATTCTTATTCAACATCAAGAGACAAGTCGACAAGTACATATGAACGCGTCGATTTCGGAAATCATAAAAGCTAGCGAATAGATCCTATTGCTAGCACAGATCAAATTGATTTCTAATTGGCATTGATATCCTATTCTTAGAGCATACTTCGGAGCTTTTAAGAGCTAAAGAAGCCAAAGATTCTTGCAGACTGTAAACATATCCAAAAGGATTAACTCAGCTATAGGATAGATTGGGCTTTGCTATTGACATACATTTGGAAGGGGAAAGTTTTGACCTGAAAATATTATAAAGATCGGACAGTAAAAGTGTAGGGCTAAGGTAAGATGAAGCACACCTGCTTCTTTTCGTGTATGTATGTATAGAATGCAGCTAGAATATTTATCACAGCAGCTCTTTGCAGCATGCAGGGTATCTCCTAGTCGAGCACTCCAACTTGTGTTAGTTTACTTTTCAAAGAAAAACAAGTTATTGTACTGAAATTAGAAAAATATTTAAGACACTTTTGCCATCAGTGTGTCCCAGCCACGACTTTCGCATTTGAGCTCGATCATGCTCTTTGTTATTTGAATTTTTGTTATTAATTTATTAATAGTTTTTTGTTAAGCCATTTCAACACAAGTCGTTGGAGATTCTAAATGACTTGCGGTCTATCATTCGCTATATCTTAATGGCTTTTACAGCTTACAAAGCTGTAGGGCAACTTTGTTGTCGCAGTCTTGCCAAAGACCTTGACTTTCTTTTCAACATTTTCTTCGCTGACTACAATTAGCCAAACGCCATAAAAAAAAGCACTTGTATCTGACAAAGTTGACATTACACTGAGCATTTTTTGAAAGCCAAAGCTGTGTGTATAGAAAGCCAACGTCAACGCATTTATGTGTGTGTGTGTGTTTGCGTTTTTGTTATTGTTAACTCATGCATGTGGCCAGCAAGTTTCTACAAAATTGTACAACTCGTGACATTTCACTTTAGGTGGATTTTAATTATGACCTCGCCCAATATGAGAACTCTCCGTTCATATGCTAATTTTTGGCCAAGTCAAAGTTCTTGTTCGAGCATCAAAGAAGATACAAATAAACGGAACTCTTGCCATTTCTGACAGGCGATAACAAAAGAAACGCATACATTATTGAGCTTAAAATTTACTTTGTTTTAGGTGCCACAATGGAGCATTAATAAAGGCTTGCCGCCTGGTCAAACAGTTTCAAAATGTGCTCAAGAGTTTTCCGCCTGCACATAATTACAACATGTGTGTGTGTGTGTGTGTGTGTGTGTGTGTGTGTGCGTGTGGCAAGAGTTACGCAGTCGCAACAGATCCAGACGCAGGTACATAACTAGTTTTCACTAAAACACACATTTCAAGGCAATAAACTATGTTTAACCAAAGCCGGCAGACGGGTCCAAGGCGCAGTCTGGGCGCGTGTCTGCACAAAATGCATTTCAATTTCATCCGACTGTCTGTCTGTCTGACGGGGTGAATGTTGACCGTGCATGTCATTCGCATTTAGTTTTGAAAGTTGTTTGCTTCCTGCTGATCGGCGAATATTTTTGCCATTTTAATTAAAAAAAAAAACACTTTACACACAATTTCAACGATAAATGCAATTTGAATGCTCATCAAAATCAATTGCTGGGATATGTGAAAAGCCTTTGCGCTTAGAGAACTTTTCAAGCCGACGAGCCTCAGTTAACTGAAATGCAATTGGACTGTGCTAAGCTAGCAAAATGCCGAGCAGTAGGCGGCAATTAATCAATAATAATCATAGGCCCATTGTTAGAGTATGTAGATGAACATAAGGACTACTGTGCTCAAGTACTTTGGCACACTTTGATGCCTTCAATGAGCTGATTGTTAATGAAAGTGCGCAAAGTGAAAATTGTAAGTGCAAGGTTAATGGGATTTATATAAATCACACTTTGAGGCCGGCTTAGACATGCAAATCAAGCCGCTAACGGTATTTCAAGAGATCTCAATTCATGTTAGCACACCATATTTGATCTTAGCTATTTTCTTACCTCAAAAGTTTAAACAATACGTTCGTTCGATTTGCAATTCTGTAGCCGTTTAATACATAAAATACAATAATCCAAAGAGCTTAAAAAGATTCAAGACATTATTGAAAACATTTATCAGAATTATTGGCAAAAAAAACTGCAAATTATTTAAATTAACATTTAATCTAGCAAATATAACAGAGATATAACAGTAGACAAAAGCGTTGCATATTGTTCATTAAAATAATATATAAAATATATAATAGGTCAATAAAAAAGATATTGGGCGAACCTCTTTATTTTTACGGATTTTTTTGCCCATCACAATCAATCTAATAAAACTGCATATACATTATTAAAGTGTTCCTCCTGGCTTGTTGCTTATTGGAATTTGTACTTCGATAAGTTATCGATTACATTTAACAGAATACTCATTTGGCAACTGTACGATGTAACAGCAGTTCGCAATGTTGACAACCCTGTGACTATTTTTAGCAGCTGCTTGCGATTTCGCGCTCAAGTAAAAGTTAGTTTAAGTAAATATCAAACTAATAATGGCCAGCACCTCGCGAAATGCCTCACGCAGAACGAATACAACGCATTCGCAGTCGCGGACGGTGCCAACCCAGGCGGAAGCACCACAAGTCGAGATAGACCACCAAGTGCGCGCCATTCTGAATTATATACTGTGTCATTCGGCGAATAAGGTGCCGATCAAGTACAATGATTTGATGCCATTGGCGGATAACAAGAACGAGCTGAGCAAGCGATTCGTGTTAGTCACCCAACTACTCGAAACACGCTATGGCATTAAGCTTGTCCAGCTTGAAGGAACTCCCAAGAGATACGTTTGCATAGCCGAGGCACCGGCGGCATCCACATACGAACTAACGTCCGCCCAGCGTCCACAGTTTACATTGCTCTACATTATACTTACGTACATCTTTTTGCGCGGCAATCATATAGAGGAGGACAAGCTCTACGGCATGCTGGACATGATGGGAGTTAACGTGCGCGAGGAGCACGGATACTTTGGCGAAAACATATCCAAACTGATCGAGGATACGTTCGTTAAACAACAATATCTGAAGCGAGAGCGATCACAGCTTAGTCCCTACGACGATCCCAAGATTACCTACAGTTGGGGGCTGCGTGCCAAATGCGAGTTCACCTATCAGCAAGTTGTCCAATTTGCATCCAAACTGTTTGACCAGGACGAAGCCTTCTTTCAGCAACAGCTGATGATGGCTGAAGGCATGGATAATCCTGAGATGCTGCAAGCATCTTCTCTAGCCGCGGTTAACACCGATGCCAGCTTTTCCGAGTCACAACATGCATTTGACAGCCAATGAGTCGTTCAATATAAGTGTAACTTTATTATAAGTGTATTTTATACAGTAAAACAATTGTTTTAATTTTGATTTGTTACAATATGACATGATAATTACTTTGTAAAAAAGGCTAAAATGAATTGATAATAGCCAGTTAACCAAGAGATTAGTCCCTAATCGTCTTTATATCCCTTCAAAAAAACAACCCATAAAAAAATAATGTGTAAGGCCTTCTCCTGTTATGGCAAAGTAAGCAGTAATGTTCTCCTAGTAGACCCTCCAAGGGACTCTTAAGATCCCTTGCCCAGAGCCCGACTGCTGATTCACCAAGGCGCTCCCGTACCCTATCTGAGTACTTCTGCCAAACTAGGGAAAGTAGTGTTTTGTTCAGCAAACCCTTTATAAGAAACTATAAAACCCTAAACCATATTGTGTTGTGTTTGTTCCATGTAGGCCTGCTCTCAAGGTAGCATTGTGCTCTAAACAGCTGGAGCAAGGACGCTGCCTTGGGGAACTCCAGCTTCGATTTCCTGACTTTCAGAGAAAGTGCTGTCGACCACCCAAACAACCATTCTGTCTTTGATGAAGCTGTGGAGAATAGAAACGAGATAATCAAGGGTTTGGGTTTAGAGCAGCTTAATCGATCTCTTGACAAGTTCATCAGTCAGGAGTTTGACTTGTCTTTGGGTAATGCATTTGCGGACTGGCTGAGGAGAATCGAGGTGCAGTACGTCTACGCTCGATCTGTTCCATGAATCATATTCTCTTATTTTGATCGGGCTGCAGATTGACAACTGAAATATTCATCTGAATATTGCTGAGGCACCGATGGTGTAATTCAAAATGCATTTTAATTCCTTCGACAAATTAAAGACAACAATTTTTATTTATTTTATGCATAACTAATTACATTAAATTGCATTAAATATTTTTAAACCTATATCTAGCTGATAAACACGTCTAATACTTGGCATAATCCGTGTCCATTATCAGGACGCCATCCTTGTCTTTGAGACGCACACGCCCGTTGGAGTAGCGTGTTTCTTGGCTGCCATCGGGATAGACGAGCTTGACAGTGCCATCGGGATACTCGCGCCGTTTATTCAATTTGGTGTGTATTTCCTTCTGACCATTGGGCAGATTTAATATCTTGTCACCGTTGCGTAGCTGCACCAGATGCGTCCCATCCGCGTAGCGCCATTCCTCCAGTTTTTCCGTATTACTGGGATCGACCGTTTTGATGGTATTGTTTGGAAAGTGAATCTCGATGATGCCATTTTTGTGCCGATGCTCGGTTTGTCCATTGGGGAACTCAAGTATTTCTAGGCCATCCAGATAGCTTGTATGCCACGTGTTCGTCTCTGCGTAATAATACTTGGTCGTGCCGGCGCGTATATCTGTCTCCTTGATGTCCTTATTAAAATACAACATGCGCACGCTCATGCCATCTGCGCTGATCTTCTTGAGATTGCCATTTGGATACCAAATGTCCTTACTACCGTCTGCATTTACAATTTCACGCTTAAACTCGCTGTTGCTGCTGTTGTTACGTTCGGCACGGGCTATCTCGACATCGACTGGGCCCGCAGGTGCTGGTTTTGAAGCTTTTTGGGGCACAACCTCGTCTATATCACAGGAGCTGCTCGAAGCGTAACTTTCATTCAGTTGTTCCGATTTCTTGCGACTACGACTACAGCTGTGGCGACGACTGGACACACGTTGCTTGCTCGCCGCCGAGTCCTGCAAGATGTCACTTATGGATTTAGCTTGGCGTTTGCCATTCTCGTCCATATGCTTTGCCGAAGTCAGCGCTGTCTCCTGCTAAATTTATAACTTGAGTTCGTTTCATTTCAATATGATAGTCAGTACTTACCACTTTTGGCGCTAAACGCGCAATGTTGCGATTGATTTCCTGCAACATTTTGCTGTTGTTCTCGCGCGTAATCTTTACTAGCTCCTGCTCCAGTCGCTTGTTTTCGCGACTAAGCAGCTCGATCTCGTCCCTGTAGCTGCGCTGTTCCTTTTCGGTGGCACGCAGCTGAGCACGAAGTCGCGCCTGCGCTGACACGTGAGTCTGATCCTTTTGCTTGAGCTGCAGCTGAAGGGCTTCCACCTCTTGCTTTAGCGCCGCCAGCTCCCTTTTCTCTTTACTATTCACATTGCTCTTTTGAAGACGCATTTGCTGCTCGAATTTGCGACGCTCCTCCTCTATCTTCATCCGCTCATCATGCAAATAGATCTCGGCTTGTATTTTTTCATCATGCACACGATCCATTGCCTCCAAATGCTCCTGGGCGCACTTGGCTTGATCCAGCTCGTGCTGTTGCTTCAGCCGCAGCAGCTGCGCATTTTGCTCTTTAAATGTGGCTATTTCTGTTTCCAGTTCCTGTAGACGCGTCCGCACCAGATTCGCTTGGATTTGTAGCTCTTCCGTTAATGGCTCATTGCTTGCGACGCTCTTTGCCTGTTGAGCCGTTCTCTGTTCCAGAGCCTGAAATAGCGCCGTTTTAAATTCCTCGAAGAGCTGCACATTCGTGCCCTCCTGCAGCGTTGCCTCATCTGAATATTCGTGAGTCTCATTGGAGTCGGAGAAGCGCACGTGCACCTGAGTCTTTCCTGCGCCAATCTTTAGCGGCGTCCTTATCAAGGTAGCGTTCTCTTCGTCCTCATCCTCATCTTCATCATTTTCACTGATAACCTCAGACACCTCTGGCTGTAGTCGCATTTCGCGCAATTGCTCGGTAATTACTATCTGATCACTATCGTCGGCGGTGTCCACCTGACGTCGCTGTTCCTTGCGTGCCATAAATGTGCGTATGAAGCTGGAGTTCATATCAATGTTGCCCTCACGCGCCTTCTGTTCAAGCAACTCAAATATGCTGACATTGTCGTCGTTTTCAACGCGTATTTGGGCCGTGCGTCGATGCAGTACTGGAGGCTTTATTTGCTGTGTGTCCAGCACCTTGGCCCAGCACACGTTTACCAGTGCACTGGAGTTTGTCTCGCAGGAGGATTGTTCATCATCAGCTGTTTGTCCTTTGGTTTGTTCTGCGTCGTTAAGCTCGACAAAGTGAACCTTAGGCGATACGCTGGATTTGGTATTGTTGGTCGAGCTAGAGGAAGACTTTAGATCCGGGGTGGAGCTGCACACATGCTTGGCATTCATCAATAGCTGCTGAAAGCGCTGCTCTTTGAGCGATAGCAGAGGTAAAGGCTGTGCATTTGCCTTTTCTACAGCACCTGACTCTTTGTGGGTCTTTAAAATACTACGTTTCTTCGGTTTGTCCGATGTTGGCGTGCGATACTGTGGATGTGCATTGGCAAACTTGTAGCGCGGCAAATTATTAAGACGTAATTTATCCGGATCAACTTTAAAGCGCTGCTTTAGACCATCACCACGGCGTAGAAACGGACGTTTGGGCTTCGCTGGTCGCGGACTTATTTGGCCAGTAGCAATCTCTGTGAGTTCGAACTCTTGTTGAGCTTTATCCTCTTCCTGCTGGTAGTTTGCATGGCGTGGCATTTCTATGGTAAATGACTGCTCCTGGTCCTGCTCTTTACTTTGCTTGTCATTGTTTTCTGTTAAAGTCACATCTGCAATATCGTTGTCCCTGCTCTTAAGTTCGTTTTGCAGTAGTCCAAGCATTTGGTACATATTGCGCTGCTCCAAGCCCAACATTAAACGCTGAGTGTTTTGACGCTCCTCCAACAGGCGTTTCTGCTCCTCTTGCCAACGATTTAGTGCGGCTAAGCGTGCCGATATATCCTGTGGCGTTGCAGCTGAAGCGGCGATACTATTTTCATTTGAACTATCCATATTTTGCTTGGAATATCATGAAGTATTTTGGTTGTTTATATGCATGGGATCCGACGCTACGCATTCAAAAAAACACCTAAATTAAAGTGTTGGAAAGTGTTGGTAAAACAGCACAGAAACCAGGGCTGCAGGCTTCAAATTAAACATAAACATCGGTAGATAATGCCTTATAAGACGCGTTAATTGTTATTTATTTTTATTTATACCTATTTTAATTTATTTACATTGCTTTTGAAGACCCCTACATATCCGGATCCCGGTCTTGGTTTTCATCCGGCTCATCAAAATCACGGACTTGCACATCCGCGTCCTCGCCATACTGCATAATGCTGTCTATCTGCAGCAAAAGATCACCAACACTCTCCTCATCGTCCACATTCAGTGGAAAAAAACGCACCAAACTAAAAAATATATAAAAACTTTAGTTTAATCTCATAAATGTACAGGCTGCACAGTGGCAACGCCAACGCGGCATATTTGCCAGCCCTGGTTAGAGCAAATAATTTTTCGTCGCGTCGTAAAATGTGCGCATAAACTCAACCTTAATATTACAAATAAAGCTTAGTTTTACGTAATAAAACAAAATACAATTCAATTGCAGCACTTAAGTGCAAAGCCCACAAATTTTTGGCGCGACGGACAAGTGTGTCGAAAATACCCCAAAAAATCCCAAGCAACAGCAACAACAAGAGCAAAATAGACTCATTTTTGATACAACATTTTTTGGGCACACACCAAAAACGGCAAAGCAGCTAAAAAACCCTGAATTTACAACCGCACTATAATTCAAAACAATGGAGGAGCAAACGGACATGGACTTGTCCAAAGTGTATGTGGTACGCTCCGCTAAGGGCGTAGATATGCTTTGCGTGGATGATTATCTTTATCATTTTGATCGCATTGGCAAAAACAACACATATCGTTGGCTATGCAATCGGCGGAAGGATAAAGTGACGCCGTGTCGATCCCGCATCTCTACCATAGTGCCAAATACAATGGACAAGACGACACACGTTGTAGTCGATGTTATTCAGGAGCATGTGCATCCACGCTGCAGCGATCACGAAATAACAAAAGTCTCCCAGCGCAAGCGTCTATCCAATATGAAAATGAACGATGCCTACAGCACCACCCAGCCCAAGCGCGCCCGCCTATACGAGCGCGCTACGGCGGGCCTCAATCCACCCGAATGGATATCCACAAGCAGGGACAGCGAATCACTGCAATATTCCTTTCAACTGGACTTTGAGGTGTGCGCCAATGCCAATTATTGTAATAAACAATTTTGTTTAAAGCAATTTGGAACTCTTGAACCCTGATAAAGTTTTTAATTTATTGCCATATATATTTTAGGAAATATCTGTTGATTAAGTTAATCGCAATTTAATTGATTTAGACTATTTCTTCTATTTTGATATGCTGTTCTCACAACTGGACACATATTCGTCTTCTGGATTCGCCCCCAATTAATAATCTTTCACATAAATTTAATGAAAAAAGTATATACTTTTTTAAATCGTAATTCTTTTTGTAAAAAGTATCTACCCTTGCATTAGTATATCTAATACTCAAGTTTTAGAATAATCTCATTCAAGAGTAAAGTTCATTAGTTTGAGTATTGAGAGAATAAGATAAGAGCTTTGTTTAAGCTTAAAATATTCTTTCAGGAATCGGGCTTAGTCCATTTCTATCCCCACAAAGAGCATAGCATAAAATGATATATAAATTTAGACAACTTTCCTTTCAATTGTTACAGGACAGAGATCGGGTTTATATGCTGCGGCGTCGCGATGGACGCGTCATGGTCTGCATCGACGGGCATCTCTACTATCTGGCGGGCAAGTCGTACAAGGGTGACATGTACCGATGGACGTGTGTGCGCAAGCGGGACATTGAATGCACCGCCTGGATCTGCACGGAGGCGACGCTAGCCGGTGCACATCGTTTGCATGTTATGGAATCGGATGCGCATATACATCCACACTATTCGGCGGACAAGCTAATGCAAATGTTTGCCAGACACCAGATTCTTCTGGTGGACGATGAGCAAACAGTGGAAGTGCTTCAGGAGTGCCCCAATTTGGAGTACTTTGACCCCGAGCTGAGTTTAGAGTCGCAGATGAAGGGCGACGATGTCGCCTCAATTATCATAGAAGACTGCGAGGAGAACTATGAGGTGTACATGAACATGGATGGCGTAGACACCTCCGAGTCTGTGCAGCCCGTTCAGCAGCAGGATCAGCCCCATCCCGATGACGAAATTAAATGGCCCAATGCAGCTGATATCATTGACAACTATATGTCACCGCCCAACTATGATCCGCTAACCGAAACCGATCTGACCAAGTTCACATTCCTGCCCTCGGCCAAGGGTCGCAAGGTGCTGTGCTTGGATCGGCATCTATTTCACTTCGACTCGCAGAGCCGTGCAAATGGCCATATGTTCTTCACGTGCATCATGCGGCGCGACAAACAGCAAAGCTGTCACGTTCGCGTTACATTAGATCCTGTCGAGCACGGGCCACAGGTGTTGCGCATCAATGGCGAGCATACGCACAAGCCCGATCTGCAGGAGATAGTGCGGCGCATAAGTCAGCAGAAGAAGCAGGAAAAACTGCATGCAATAGAGAAGCAAGGAGGCAATCTAAAAACTGTACAGGTCGGCAGACAGCCACTTGGCAATGAGGAAGTTGAGTTTGAGAGTCAGGACGAGGTGGAAACAGAGGAGGAGGGAGAGGCAATTACTGAACAGGAAGGCAAATATGAGAAACCGAAAGACCAGTCACCACGATCTAACGTGGTTATGAAAAAGGTCATTGGCATTGATGGCATCAAAATGGAGCCCGAAGAAGCCAAGGCGGCCTCAATGATTGTCGAGTATATGGACGATGGCGCCGACAACATCAGTGCCAAAATTGAAATACTTCCCAATGATTTGGAGGTCATCGAGCCCATCACATCGACACCCAAGCCGCAACTGACCAATTTACGTAAGCGTCGCACCAACACAGCGCCCACAAGCAACAACACGCAGCTGACAGCAACGCCATCAGACATGGATCTAACCAAAATCTGCACACTACGCTCTGCGAAAGGCAGCGAGATGCTTTGCGTCGATGGATACATCTATCATGCCAAGAATCGTGGCCTCATTTCTCGCAATTATTGGGTGTGCATCAAGAGTCGGGATCCGGAGATCAATTGCAAAAGCCGCATATCAACGGCCACACAAAAAGACGGCTCCATACGCGTTCTGCGCGTCTACAACAGCCATAGTCATCCGTTCAGCGAGGACGACATTAAACGACGACTCTTTAATGAGATCAACAAGAAGAACAACAAAAAGCTCAAGTTCCGACCACTGCACTTCATCGGCAAGTCTCTGGAGCAAATCAAACAAGAATACGGCGACCTATCCGTCGAACAGCTCAACGTGTCCAATCTCACCGACGGCATTGTGGTCCATAAAAAGCCGCGCAACAGTGCAGGCAGCAGCAGTCACAATAGCAGCAGCACATCCACAACAAGAGCGAAAGGGGAAGATTCCTTAAATAAAGATGTGGCCAAGCAGAAGTTGCAAGCAGAAGAGCAGGAGCACCAGCACTATGAGGAGGACGTAGTCGTCGAGGAGGAAGAGGATCACGAGCAAGCAGGCATACCCGAAGAAGGGCAGTTCATGACTGTTGAGGAGGACAACACGGATGCAATCATCGAAGTGGTCGAGGAAGTGACCGATATGGAAAACTATGGCAGCATTGAGTAAGTACAGATTATTTGGAGTAGAAGGGGCATGTCACACAATAGGTGCACAATAAGAATTTTATTCGGGTTAAGCAGAGCATCAACAATAAAATTGAGTCCGTAGCGGAATAGACACTTTGCCGGGTTGCAGATTAGACGAACTAATTTACAGGGCAATTGATGGTCGACTAAGCTTAACTTAAACAACTTGAAATGTTGCACAAATATTGAAAACTAACCACGGTTTGGGCTTTTAGCCTCAGTTGGTCTTAGGAGCTTAGGAGCGCACTTCAATTTTACGGAGTAGATTCCAATTAGGTAAATGCCGAGATATAAAAAATAAAATAAATGACAAAAACAAGAAATACACCTATGTAACACATTCACTTTTGTCCAGTGGAAACTCGCTTGTTGGCCACAAACGAAACCGGTTCGACTAGACACAAATACTCATTTGCTATCGTGTTTTTTTTTTCTTTCTGTTTTTTGCATAATTTCAAACAGACCCATTTACACGATGAAGCTGTACGCCGTATCCGATGGTCCGCCCTCGCTGGCCGTACGAATGACCCTCAAGGCGTTGGACATTCAATATCAGCTAATCAATGTGGACTTTTGTGCGCTGGAGCACCGCACAGCGGACTATGCCAAGGTATGATACATACACAAATCCCAGCAGTAAAATTGATTTTATAATTGAATATTTTATTACCCGCAGATGAATCCACAAAAGGAGATACCAGTGCTGGACGACGATGGCTTCCATCTGTCCGAGAGCATTGCTATTATGCAATACTTGTGCGACAAGTATGCGCCGCTATCGACGCTATATCCAGAGGAGCCCAACGAACGGGCGCTGGTCAATCAACGTTTGTGCTTCAACATGAGCTTCTACTATGCGCCAATCTCGGCGCATAGCATGGCCCCCATATTCTTCGACTACGAGCGCACGCCCATGTCTCTGAAGAAGGTGGAGAATGCGCTCGATGTGTTCGAGACGTATCTGCAGCGCTTGGGCACCAAATATGCAGCCAGTGACAATCTTACCATTGCAGACTTTGCATTGGTATCGTCTACACTGTGTCTGGAAGCTATTGACTTTGATTTATCGCCGTATCCGCTGGTACAGAAATGGTACTCCACCTTTAAGGCGGAATATCCAGAACTTTGGCAAATTGCCAACAGCGGCATGCAGGAGATCAATGCATTTGAGCACAATCCGCCGGATCTTTCCCAAATGGAACACCCATTTCATCCAACGCGCAAGAACAAGGCATGAATCTAGTGCCGAATTATAGATATTAAGTGCATTTGCTGCATTAAGGCCAGCTTTGATAGTTGAAATATACACAGAAATATTTTATAAACAAATTAAAAAAATGGGTATATGGAATGTTATATGCCATTTCTTGCATGCTAAGTAAAGGTTTTTTAAAACAGTTTTAAGAATTTAACTAAAAAATCAATTTAATTGGAGAGCAATGGGCCAAATTTTAAGTGTAAGAACGGTGAAACCTATAACTGTGACTCCGAGGAGGAGGATGGACTATGCAGGAATGGAATAAGCTTCGTTAAAACTTAGAGAATGTATATAACTCTTGTTCCTTCACGCCCTACTATAGTTTACAGACACTCACCTAAAATCCTCGATGAGCGAGCCAATAGCCTCAGTGAGCTTTCGGTATTTCTCACCAAATCCCGTGCCAATGGTCAGCTCCCCCATAAGATTGTGCGTGTCTGGCTCCAAATATAGCTCCAGCTGCTTGCGCGCTTCTGCGCTCAACAGATCCACTTTGGTCAGTACATTCACATGCGGCTGCTCCATGTTCGCCATGACGCTAAGTGCTGCCATGGTGCCTGATATAAACTTGGCGCCATCGACCATAAACTGCGAGTCAAGACAGAAGACTACGCAAATGCGGAAATTCCAGGATTCTAGCAGCTGCACCAACTGTTTGCCCATCTTGAGATGTGTGAACAGCTCTATTTGGCCCGGCATATCGAACAGTATATAATCATCGTCTGGCTCGCCCAGCATTAGCTCATCGTCGCCACCGCACAGTTGCGCCTTGAGCCAGTCCTGATTCTCAATGAGAAACTCTAAGCAGAAGATCAAGCCCCCATTAGGTCCGTAGTGTAGTTCTTCATCTTCCATGGCATCATCCAGATGTATTAGCTCTCGTATGTCCGCAAGCGGCGAGTAGTTAAAGTGCTCCGCAGCTGGATCCAAATTCACAACCTGAATGTTTCTCTTACTGTCCGTCGCATGTTGTTGCATATAGCTGCAATATGTAGACTGTGAAAGGCAATTAGATCATCACCAGGCCAATTAAAAATTGTATGTTTTTAGCATGCCTTGCCGCTGCCAGCGGGTCCCACAACAATTTGTGCAAAACGCATTTGAACTTTTAGTTAAAATTTTAAATAAACGCAAGCAAATTGCATGCGCGTGCGGCCGACGTAGTGTTGAAAGGCGTCCAAAAAAGCTTTATTGCGTTCTGGCATATGCGCTGGTGTGGCAACGCCGCGATGTGCTGTCTCACAGATTTAAAATAGAAAGTGACCAGATCTCATCGTACAGCTGTTGAGTTAATTAAATCTGCGATTTAACTGCCAGACATCATAAACAGAAATGTGACGCGTTAATTTACATATGATCGGATTGATTTATCAAAAACGTTCAATCACACCACAGTTGTGCCCACCCTGCTGAAGCTAAGCCTAATTGCTGATAATCATCTAAATTGTGCTACCAAATGTATACACGCGCCGAAAGGACAGCGAAAGAAACGACAGCTGTCCATCTAACGGTTCTCCCAGCCTGAACATGACAATCATAATGATTTTTTAAATGCTACGCTTGCAGCAAAACTATAACGCTTAAAAATAATAATAAATGCCCATTCTCTTGTCTTTTTATCAAATTTGTTGTAGTCTCTGCCCTGCGTGTGCATGTCGGAAGACCGGAAATAATTTTCTAGTTGCACTCCCGAACCCGAGCCGAGCACCCACCCCCAAAAACTGCACTTGTGCTTTGTGCTTGGGTTCTGTCTGTTTGGTTTTATTTTTTATGATATCGGCAACAGGGGCTGACACCAGGTGTTCAATATGTTGTGCTGATAAGTACGTTATTTAGTTGTAAATTGCACCTTTTGCCCCATTCGCTTGAACTGCAAATGGCCAAAAATTAAAGGTTCAACTTGGGTATGGTATTTTTTCATTTGGTATTTCCTTGCATCATCTTTGGTATTTCTTTAAAATAACTGTACACGTTTCATTTAAATACTCGAATTTATTTAACTTTAAACTAAGCCACTAAGTATAGTATAACATTTAGATATAAGCAAACTTATAGCAATTAAATACCACAGAACATGTTTTTTTAATATATTTTAAAATTGGAATATATGTATATAGTAAATATATGTTAAAGGCGACACTAAATGTCGTAGACTAGCATACGTGACTAGTTGAGAGGAGTTGCACTGCAAATTGTCGTAATATTCTTTTAAAGACCACCTCCGCTGCCAAAGATGCTCGCTGCGGCACCGGCATCGCTTATATCTGCTCCACTGATATTGAAGTCCTCGCTGCTCTGATTGCTGTTGTGATTTTGACTAGAATTCGAGCTGATGCTGCCCTTTGCGGTATTGTTGGCATACAACGGCTGAGCTGGATGTTGGTTGGCTGCTCCATTGGGATCGTCTGGTGTCCAGGTGCGTGCGTAAAGCTTGCTGCCCGGATAGCGATCGCCCTTGCGATACCACGATAAGGAATGCGACATGCCGCCGGCTGTAACAAAGAGTTCAAATGAGATTCTATAACAATTTGAGCAAGTCAAGTGCCGCCCCGTCAATTAAAATTGTTGCCAAAAACTGAGCAAATGCCATTAGCGGGCACATTACAAGCACATCAGCGGCCACAGCGTAAACAAGCAAAGGGAAAGGGTTCACACTCCTCGCATGATTCCTGCTATTTGTCTGCCCCGGCTGCTGTTGTTGCAGCTGGCCGCCCGCTGTGCGACCCACCATTTGCCTTGAACAAACACAAATCCTTCCTACCCCCGCATCTACTGCCGCGTCCAATCAGCTTGCACGCAGTATAGCATCCCATTCCAATCACAATCCAAGCTTGGTAATTTGTAGCGCACACAGTTTTCGAGTGCCTCATGCGGGTGTTGCTCAAATATGCGACATGCCACCCCATCCGGTTACCACCCAGCTTCACACTCTTCCCACTCCACCCCGTCATCTTGGATGTTGGTGTGAACATATGCCAGGCGCGTGCCCTGCAGCCGTATCCTACCGATTCCAGAAACCAATGGGCGTTCTGTTGCCCCCCTTCCCCCCAATGCTCGTTTGGGGGCTTGCGATTTTTATCTATTTCGCTTTTGTTTTTCTTCTTTCATTTTTTTTTTTGTTCATTCTTGTTTTTGCTCAACATTTTTAATGCCCGTTAAGCATGAAAACGCTTTTGCCGTATCACATGCCCCGCACTCTCCCGGCCCCCACCACCAGGTCTCCGGTCTCTTTGGCCTCGGTTGCCCTTTAACAGGACCCATGAATTGTTCTGCGATGGCGACAGCAGACATCTGCTGGACTGTGACGAATTTCTCACGATATGATTATGTCGATTGTGCTTTGTTGTTCCTCATGTCGATTGTTATGTGTGGGGATGGGAGTAGGAGCTGTAGTTGGAACTTGGGCAAGGTGTCTGTCATGTTGGATTTTATCATAACAAATTGTACGTCGGCATGTCGCATGTTCTTTAAATAATGCTTTATCAGGGATTTGGTATAGGCCTCAGTCCTCTACTACACCTTGCAACTAAATAAATGACAAATTTTCTACTTAATTCTGCTTCACTGATGATTTCTTTTTATATTGGGGATTTCGTTAAATATTATAATCACGGCAAGCATCCATATATATATCTTGATCTTTCTATTCTTGAGTTTAGCTCATGTGTCTGATTCCCATAATATTATATACATAGTCAGTTTCCCTATCTGAATTATATTCAAGTGTAATCCAAATGTTTCATCTGTTTTCTTTTACTAATTGTAGAATTTTGATTGATGCAGATATTGATTATGATTACACTGGGTTAATTAACTATTTTAATCTATTATCTGTTCAAAAATCTTCTCTTTCTAGTATTGGATCTTATATTTGTAAACATTTAGCAAGTAGATAATCTTAGTTTGAGATTTTTTTTTTTTTTGTAATCGCGAAAATAGTGTAAACTCTATAATCCTTCTCAATTTGTTTTTATATCTTTGCCGTTTATATTATACTTTTGTAAGGAAATGTGTTAAATATAAATATCCCCGAACCCATTAGGTATATATCTATTAGAAAATCTGTTTGTATGAAAAGATATTTTCCATTTTTAATCTTTCCTTTAAAAACTAGGCTTTTTATATCCGTCAAATCTCTCTCATTTCTTTGTTTAGAGAAACTTAAGTGCGTAAACCAAAATCATCAATAAGAACCAAACACATCTATCGTATACCTACTGATCGACTGCAGTTGATGTTGTTGTCTACTTTTTCATTAAATTCTCTCTACTTTTTGTCAAGATTATATGGAATTTTTTTCTAAGGCGAAACCTAAAAACAAATCTTACAATATTTTCTGATCTATTTAATGATTATTAAGAAAATGTATACAACTTGATCTATAACAAGTAAAAGGTTCTAGTCGGGAGCTCCCGACTAGGGAACCGACTAGGGAATTCTCTTCTTCCAACATCAAATGCATATATATATTCTATTTTAGAAGCTATATGTCAAGTTTGGTGACTCTAGCTCTTATTATTTACCAAAATTGCCAAAAAAAACAGGATATCGATATCGATTTTTATCGATTGCTTGGAAACGGAGTTATCGATTATCGGAAACAAACTCGGTCGAGCCTACATCTAAAATTTCAAGTCTCTAGCTCTTATAGACGGACGGACAGACGGACAGACGGACAGACAGACAGACGGGCAGACGGACGGACGGACGGACAAACGGACAGACAGACGGACATGGCTAGATCGACTCGGCTTTTGGTGCTGATCAAGAATATATATACTTTATGGGGTCGGAGATGCTTCCTTCTGCCTGTTACATACATTTGGATTTTGCACAAATACAATATACCCTTATACCCATTTTTAATGGGTTCAGGGTATAAAAATGTTAGTTCCTATTGAAATGCAAATAAATTTGTCTACAAATAAAACTCCTAATAAAGATATTTTTAAAATTCCCATAGGCCCAGAGCTGTAAATTTTCAGCTAAGTGCAAAGCACTTTGCTATAAATTCCAACCAAACAAGCTTCTAACCCAAGTTTAACCAGTATAAATTTCTGTTGTGACACACATAAGTTGAAATTAGAAAAAAAAAAATAGTTAAAAAAAACTTAAAAATTGAGCAAATCATTCAAAATCAGACGGAGAAATCGCACCCTATTACTATATATATGCATAGCACCCTTTGGCAGACCAAGTGGTTGGCTATTAGTTATGCAGATGCATTGGCTCGATCAGGATTCTCTCGACGAGAAGTCGAGGGTACTGCAGTGTCATACATATTGAATAGAAAAATTATTAACCAAAAAACCGTAACTAAAGCTACTTTTATGAGCTGGCGCACGGAAACCCTTAATCCGTTGTGGCATCCCCCTCCCGTTAGGCTAATGAAAACCTTTCGTGTACGCATTCGCAGTCGCAGCCGCATCCGTGCCAGAGCCAGGCCCGTGTACAGCCGTGTTTCATGATCGATGCGACGGCAATGAGCAAAACAATTTGCTTGACTGGCAGTCACGCAAAGCCCGCAAAGCGAAGCGGGCTAGAAGTGTGAAAATTCTAATTAGTTACACTTAGGCAGACGCAGCAGCCGCGCTCGGTTGCCCACAGATGGAACTCAGCTCAGACCCGAGCAACCCTCATTCCCAATCCAAATGGGAACAAACCGCACCAATGGACTTTAAATATGCAACTAACAGTCCGGCTGAATTATATCATTAAATGTAGACCTGGTGTCCAGCAGCACCCGCTGACCGCCCACCTCACATTGATGATTGATGGATGATTGACAACTTACTGCGATCCTTGAGAATGATTTTCTTGGGCGGCTCCTTTTGGTAGTTGCGCTGCAAGCTGAGGCCAGCTTCATTGCCGTTCTTGTCCTTCTTGACCATTTCGCTCAGAAAGGTTATATAACTAATAGCCAGCTTTAGCGTATCGACCTGAAATCGTTGCAAAATTTTATGAGATTTAAGAGATCCTGAAGGTATCTTCTAATCTTCCAATAAAACACAACTGTCTTCAATTTTGAAATCGAATAAATTATAACTTCGCTATTCTCGACCATGTTGAACTGCGGTGGACTGGACTGGACCGTGTCTGGGTAATTTTTCCCGTGCGTGATTGAAAGAGTTAGTTGCGTGATCGTGTTGAGCTCTTAAAATCCGGCCATCTCTATTAAAAAAAGACTACCTATGTATTAACTAAAATAAATTGATTCAAATTACTCTCGATGAATTGTTCACAAGAGCTTTTGTGCCTAAGATTATGTATGCAAATTTCCATATTATCCCGATCGAATTAAGCATTCGCTACTAAGCCCGGAAAATAGGTGGAAACAATTGTTATCCCATTTAGCGACTTTCAACTAATAAACATTAACCATAAGATATGAACTTTGATTAATCCCTACAAATAGTTTCTAATTGAGAAAACGTGTTTAGGTATTTCTTACCTTGCTGAGGCGTTTCTCGTAGGGCAATGTTGGTATATGGGTACGCAGACCCTCGAATGCCTCATTGATGCTCTGCATTCGTCGTCGCTCCCGAAGATTCGCCGCCTGCCGCTGCTGGGCCATCTGCGAGGCGCACTTCAAGCGGCGTGGCTTATGACTGCGACGGCTAGACAGAGAGTAGCTGGAATCGATTATTATCGGAGCACCTGAGCTCGAGTAAGCCGGTCGAGATGGACTTACGTCTTCTCGTTGTTCTCCTGGTCACTGTTGAAGCCGCTGCTGTACGCATCGTCATCGTCGTCGCTCTCCGAGCTGTGCTCGTCCCCGAAGTAGTACTCGGAGCTGGAGTTCGAGGCGTTGGTCGCCTGCGATCCCTCGAAGAAGTGCCGAGCCATGGTGGCCTCCAAGTCGAAATTGTCCATGGAAAACATTTTACAAAGTGCAATTCTCTGTCTCCCTTTCCCTCTCTCTATCTCTCTCTCTCTGTCTCTTTTCTTTTGTCCTATTCAATTTAATGTCAGCTAATTGTCCGACAAGTGCATAACGCCAAACAAAACGCCTCCGGATATAAATCTGATTGGCGACGCGTGCCCAGCACGTGCCGGACGGAGGAACCTTACGACTCGATTCGATCGTCTCCTGCGTGGAACAAGTGCGGCGCGTGCCGTTGATTTTGACTCTTGATTTTTAGCAGTAGTTGAACAATCTGAAAATGATAAACAACATCATTTTTATAGATTTTTTCTGAGTAATCATATAAATTCATGTCGATGTGGTAAGTGCCTGTTCAGTTGTTAAATAGATAATAAACATGTTTAACATACAAATACTCCAGATAAGATAAGATAGAGCATCGGCTTGGTTAGATATCACACACCCTTTGAAATGCATATGGGATTAGTAAAGTTTGTTATATAAAACTTATTGAAAATGAAAGGATTATAGAACAGTAAATGCGTAGTTCCTAAAGAAACCGTATTTAATTGTAAGTGTTTAAAATTTCCACAGAAGAAAATCTCAATATTCTAAACCAAATTGACTTTTATACCCTGTTTTGTTTTGCAATTATATAGCAGACAGAGGCATCTCCGATCCCAAACATATTCTCGATCATCACCAACAGCTGAGATGATGAGCTGTCCAACTGATATATGAATGAATAGATCAAGTTTGTTTAAAATAATCGTTAACTCTTTCCATATTACCAAAATCTATGAAAATCGATTTTCATATAAGGCATATTTTCGAATACAAACAACAAACTTGAAGGGTTATCACTTAAAATGTAATCTTAAGTTATTCTTGATCAAATTAACCCATATTTAAACTAGCTCAATTAAAAAGTTCTCCGTTTTTCACTCGTGCAAGGATTAATATTGTTACGCCGCGAAATGTAACACTTTATAAGCCTTTCCAAAAAAAAAATATTCATGCATAAATGAATATCTGAATATTAGCCCAAAATCCTTCTGTTTGCAGCATGCAGTTAAATAAAGCGTGGAAAACGATCTGTCCACATATAAGTTATGGCAGAAGGGACTCTTTGGTTTTTAAATAAACATTTTTGATAAAATTATTTGACATCATGAAGGTAGCATAAAACAATTGATCGAGGCTTGAATTGCATGAAAATATCATTGTATTTATGGGTTAGTTATAGACATAGGTAAACCATATAAACATATCATAAATCAAACTTCCAAGTTAGAATATAATATAATATTAATTTGAATTTTATTTATAATTCATTTATGTTTTAATGTTGATATAACTTAATATAAATAGACGTAACTTAAGCTCATTTAAGAAGTTTGTTAATGGAAATTCGAAATTCGATTTTTATTGTTATTATTATTATTGTATTTTAAAACAAGAATCTAAAAGTAATTCTTTCAACTATAAAGTAGCGACGGTACCAGGTAACATCTTTTACCTTGTTCATCGGATTGTATCCAATATCCTCTAAGCTTAAAATACACCACAATCAAAATACTTTCAAATTGCACATAAATAATTTATACATCAGATGCTTCCGCACTCTTTAACACTCATAGTCCGTCTAATACTACGCCAATAGACAATGTCAATGCGAAATGTTTAAAATATTTCTAACGCGAATTGCAACATTGAAGCGCGATTTGGTAGCGAACGCGCCGACAGCTACAAAACGAATGCCAGTTCCCGGACCAGGAGCAGGACACGTTCGATAAGAGCTGAGCGAGGGGTTGCTATTCCGTATAAACTCACACCGTAGAACGTCGTCTATCATATCAATGGCGGTGCCATATCAAAGCAAAAAGTGTGGCCAAATGGGCGGAGTCCGTGCTGCTGGCCAATCAGCGTGAGGCAGTCGAAACTTTGGACTCGCCAGGGTTGCATTTGGGGTGTTATAAGCTTATTAAGTTTGGGTTCTTTCGCGTTGTTGTTGCTGTTGTTGGCCAGGGGGAGAGATGCACTGTATTCACATGGTAGACACATTAAATTGTTCATTGATTCCGGGCACGTTTATCTGTTTAAGCGGAATTATTGTCCAAATGGCATTCAAGTGCCACGGTATACATATATGCTTAAGAATGGAATGCGCAGGACAAGTGTACGGCTTGATTGGGAGTGAAATAGTGGGCGGCAGGCAAGAGTACAGGGTTAAGATAGGATACAGAGCAGCTGCCTGCAATTTGTTTGCTGCCGGATGATTCGATGATTTTCTCGAGCAGCGTCTAAGTCTAATTAATGAAGTGTGGCAGCCAAACAGAGACTCAGAAAAAAAATAAATAAAAAAGAATTTGTCAACCAGCATAATTTTTAAGCATTAGCAAAGCGCCGAATACAAATGCAAATATTTGCATTGTCTAGCATTCGGGCGAAACAACTCCATTAAAAAGGCGTCTGTTGCACAAATATATCTGCTGCATATCTTACGGCGCGCATATCAAACAACCCAGACAGGGGTGTCAAAATATGCGAGATCCGAGTACCAAGAGCTCTATTCACCCCTCAACCTGGCTGCTTGCGATGCGCCTTTCCTGCGAGCCCAAACCAGCTTGTTTGTTGTCCTTTTTTCCCGTGTCTGTTGCTGCCCCTGCCCCTGCCCCTGCTCCTGCTCCTGCCGACAGCCAAATCATCGTTGACGGCGACCTCACTAAGGCTACCCATGATAAACAAATTGTTTTGCCTCCGCCATCTCGGCGTTGTTGGTTCGTTGTTTTCATTGCCAGCGCTGCTCGTTTTGTGCAGCTGTATAAACAAATTAGTTTTCAATTTTATCAAGTTGTTGCCTAGTGGCAACCGATTGAGGATAACAGCTAGAACGCAGGGCCCAGACGACGTTGGTCCGACCTAAATGAAGACTCTCATATCAAACACACACATATTTGTTGTCCTCACGCATAGATCAAAGTCCCGAAAATATTATTTAGGCTAAATGTTATATCATATTTTCCTAAGACAAATTGAAACCTATTGAAAACTGGCCTTAAATCTCGGTTATTTGTAAAGAATTTTGTACTTAAATAAAATAAAATCCTGGCTTTGAAAGTATGCTCATGCCGGTTTTACTTGATTCAAGTATAAAGATCTTATTATCATGCACAACTTTTTAGTGAAAAAAATTAAATTGAATTTTAATTTGTTCTATTTTTCAGTCCAATTGAGCTTAATGCCCAAATGATCTTAATTTTTGTCTTGGAATAAAGCTAATATAGTTTAAATGATGCCCAATTTGTTCTTAAAACAATCTCAGCTTAAGCTAGATGGTATAAACTCCATAGAAAAGGGAGTACAGAGTCAAAGGACGAACCACTCTAGCCATGTTTTAGTATCCGTTTTCTCACGAAATGTATACACTCAAAAATACAAATCGTACTATAATTATTCTAGTTCGGATCAGCTTTTAAAGATATATCTCTGTTATCATAATAAATTTTAACTCAGTCCTAAAACTAAATTAAGCGATACGTCTTATTGCTGCAGAGAGTAACTTAGGTATACAGACATATATATGATATCAAAATTCACATTAATATATTGCCAACTAGCTCGAATTATAATTATTAATTTTAAAAATTCCATATTGTCCAGCACCTGCAAAGTTTTCCCTAACTTGTGCTATGTAATTAAAGCTCCGGTAAATTAAGTGCTGCCGCACTCTAGTTAATATCAAGCTGCGAATTATGTACACGTCATATAGCACAATCAAGCGTAACCGCCTCTATGCCGACTTACCCTATCTAATGCCAATGCCAATGCCCCGGACCCTATATCATTACACGCAATTGCCGGCGAAGGGGGTTGTCCCGACCTCAACGCATTGTCATTTGGCACAACGATTTTCAATTCGTTTTTTATTCGAATTCTAATTAAAAACCCAAATGTATTGTTGAGGTAGACAAGCAATCCGGGTCGGGGCGCTCCGAAATGCTTATCACACTGATGCCTTGATCCCTGTCCACGTCCATCCACAGTGTTGACACTGAGCATTAAGGCTGGCGAAATCCTCTTGAGTGCATGCCTGGGCGAGCACACTGGGTAACGCAATGTGTGTACATTTTAATCTCATTTGAAAAGTTTTACTTTATTTTTTTCAAAGTGCTTATGTAAAGTGCAAAAATTGAAATCAACAATGGACCTTATAAAGGGTTGGGATAAGTAGAAACGATTCATAGCAATGCAGTTGGCAGTGGGTACCTTTTTGAAAGCCACATAAACGATAAAAATGTTCAGAACGAATAAACGAACACAAAAATCTTGCATTTTTGCACTCAAATTTAATTTAAATAAAAAAAAAAGAAGCACGCATTCATAAAATTAGCGAAAGAGCAAATACTGTTAACTCATTGTGCTATTTAACATGGAATAAGTTTTAAAAATAAAATAATATGCAAAATGTAAACCATCCCTGTTAAACGTACGTCGCTTAAGTACTCAAAAGTGAATATCTTTATCCGTGGCGTCGGTGGTGTAATGGTTAGCATAGTTGCCTTCCAAGCAGTTGACCCGGGTTCGATTCCCGGCCGACGCACATCGAAATTTTTTGCTGCAACCGTTCTTTTCTTTATATTTTTGAGACAATTTGTTGTTCTTAAAATTTGTACATAACTTGTTGACTAAATTCATGCTCTGGTCCAATACGCTCATCAAAGCGTTTGCCATTTAATTCAAACTCATTGAAAGGTACTGTGTTCAGCACTGTAAAACCCACAGCATTGCCAATTTTTTGGGTGTATACGGAGGTCCAGAGTGCAGTGACCGCCGCAGGACGTTTATCCTGCAATTCCTTTGCCACATCCTGTAAGCCACGACCCTGGCCAAGTTCACGAGTGAGTTGAACGGTGGATTCAACAAGAGCGCGACCAAGTCCCAGGCGCCGAAAGTCCGGCAGAGTGGCCAAAAACATAAGCTCACATACGCAATCCAGGCTGTACACGGCGCACACGTCGACCTTTGAGTCCATCGTAATCATATAATCCATCAGACACTTAGCCTGAGGACTTTTCACTTGCTCATTGTAGAACTTAACAAAGAAATTATCCTCGCCAGGCGGAGGAGCGAACTAGAATTTAAATACAAGTTTAGATAGGCTAGATATAATTGTTGACCCATATGCTACTTGCCTGCAACTTGTTAAAGGAAACGGCAACAATCCGACAACTCTCCACGTGTCTCATAATTAAGGAAACTCCATCCTGTGCGGTGATACGGCATAGCTCCCGCAACTCTTGACGCGCCTGCGCATTTTGAGGCAAGTTTATTTCACAGGCGATGCAAACTGATTCATTGATAAAGAACGAGTCGTCCAACACCTACAATATGGTAAAATTAGAATATATTCAAATATTTTTTAACTGAATATTAAAAAATAAATAAAATAAAAAACAAATAAAATAAAGAAAAGGCAAAAAGTGACATGCGTCGGCCGGGAATCGAACCCGGGTCAACTGCTTGGAAGGCAACTATGCTAACCATTACACCACCGACGCCACGGAGCTCTCGGCGCTCCAAATCGCTTTTGTATCATGCTTTCAGCACATCATGCGGCATTGCTAATTTTAAGCTTTAATAAAATGCGCGAACATATTTGTATTTCTCGTCTACATTTTTGACATAACTAATTATGTATTCATGTAGATGAATTTGGGCATGTATATGCAAATATACAGTTTATTATTTGTGATATACTTTTATTTTATACATACATTAAGCGCTTCCTCCAAATCCGCCCTAGCCAGACTGCAGACTTCATACTTGCCTGAGACGTTAGAAAGAACAAGACCAAATATTTAAAATATGTTAGGGTTCATTATTATTTTACATATTTGTATGTGTTTAAAGCATAATAAAAAGCTTTCATGTGCGTTAAACAATATCAACTTGCTACCGACAACCTTAACAGAAGTCCTACATATAACATGAATGTTAATGGAACTAATCACATTTGATAATTAGATATACAGCAAGCTATTGAAAATATTATATAAACACAGGCTTATTTTGAAAACACATTAACTACACGCACCTTCGTGCAAAGTTGACCAAAGTTTGCCGTTCTGGGCTCGCATTACTGACGCTTATCTCACTGAATGGAATAGAAACAACGAGTGCCTTCTAAAGTTCGATTGTAACTAAGCTATAAAGAATTTGATAACTCTAACGGAGAGCTAGCACCGGTTTTTTTTACACTATGCTAGCAAAGTGGGCTTATCATTTTGGGACTATGCTATTAAGTTCTATCATCTGGCTTTTGTTTTAATGAAGCGCAAGTTTAAGACTGAATAAGGTTCCATTTTAAGGAAGGTCGACGTTTTTTATTATCTTTTAGTAATAAAAATATATATATATGTACATAGTTCGTATATAAATAAGCTCGGATTTTTAAAGAAAAAAATGAAGTCCATAACAAGTTTGGTAACTCACAAAAAGGATTAAAACTTACTTTGCGGGCATTACAGAGCCTATTGCAAAAAAAAAATAAAACAAAAAAAATGTGACTTCAGTTTATTTGATAATATCAATTTATAAATTCTCGATCAGCTGATTTGTGTTTTTACATAGTTGGATTGCTAAATATGTATATTTTGAATGAAACAGCTGAGCAAACCTTTACACACCTTAACAACACTGCCGCAGATCTTACAAGAAAAAAAGAGTTTCGCTGTTATTCTATTGTTATTGCTGCAATCAGCTGTTAAATAAAAGTTCTATATACGCGCATTTACACCACGTAACCTCTGGCCACGCTGTCCATATTTTTTCTTGTGAATAACAAACGCAACGCCATGGCAACGCTGCGCTAAACAAATGCTAAACATTCGATTTGCACGAACATTTTTATATCGCAAAATGTTTATACTGGACAAAATTCTACCGTTTATATTTAGCTATATACGGCCGTTTATTAAGTGGTTCCTACATGTGTTTACCCGCCTCTCCGAGCTCCAGCGAATATGCTACGGAGCAAAAGCGGGCACGCCGAGATGCCGCCAAATCGAACGCTCCCTTTTACAGTCGAATCAGCCAGAAATAAAGACCATGTTACGAGAACTTGACGAGGCGGCGCCCTATGCTAGCGATAGAGAGTTGCTTTACTTTGGTGAGTCAGCGTTAAATTAAATTAAATCTGTGTATTCGACAATAGAAGTTGGCTTTGCAGCTCCACGCGCCGTTAAAGTTGTTTCGCATGTAAAACGAATCAAGAGTACTGTGCATCCGGATTTCGGCAGGCTTTTTGGCAATTGCGTTACCACCATTTGGGGCTATAAACGTCTAATGCATCAGGTGGAGCAGCTGCGTGCCGAGCCATATGACTCGGAGAACCTGGAGCACGAGCAGAAGCTATTGCAGCTGTGGCAGCTACTGATGCCCGAGACGCCGCTGACAGGTCGCATATCCAAGCAGTGGCAGGACATCGGCTTCCAGGGGGACGATCCGAAAACGGACTTTCGTGGCATGGGCATGTTGGGCCTAGAAAATCTCTTGTACTTTGCGAGCGCCTACAATGACGCCGCCAAGCATGTGCTGCTGCACTCGATGCATCCCACTGTGGGCTATACCTATGCCATTGTTGGCATCAATCTCACCGCCCTAGCATTCAACTTGCTGCGCACGGGCGCGGCCAAGACACACTTTTACAATCAGGTGGCGCTGCATAAGCAGAACTTCAGCACGCTCGAGGATTTCCATAAATTGTATTGCTACCTGTTCTTTGAATTCGATCGCTTCTGGATGGACAGCTCGCCGCGCAACATAATGGACTTCCGAGAGGTATATCAGGCCTTCGAGATAACCAAACTGGAAGCGCTGCACAATGAGAACACAATTTTCAAAACGAATCTGGTCGTGGAGTCCGTCTAATTGCCCACATTGCACGGTTGTAATTAAAATTCCATAGATATTTGTATAAATGCAGCTTTTTATGCGTTTATTTGAGAGCTATATTATGTATGTTTGTATATTTAATATGTATATATGCAAGTATGCAAGTATTTAAATCGTTAATTAGCTGCTAAATGCAAACTGCAAACTAAAAGGACGCATAATACTTAGAAATGAAGATCATGATTGCACATAGGAGACAATAAATTCTATAAAAATAATTAAATATCACGCAAAAGCATAAACATATAAATAATTGCACAAAACTAACATAGAAAATTATAAAATAAACGAGACAAATTCCTAAATAGTTCGCAGTGAGCTAATCTTTCGAGTATCCTATCAATTTAATGATGTACTTATATGTATATGTGGAATGCACAAGTCGAATCGAATTGGAGCATCGTCCTGGTCGCAAGCTAGTTGATTATCAATATATCATAATAACGTGATGCGATGCGCCTTTTGTTTGGTCTAGCGATAGAACTTGACCTCGGCCTCAACGCAATCCTTGAGCAGCTCGTCCAGCTCATCGCTGGCATGATCCTGGAGCGAAAAGTAGTTGTTCAATTCATCGACACAGGAGCGCTCCAAGCTCCTCAAATGCTCCAATGCAGCCGGTTTACGATTGGCATGCAGACTATGCAGCAGCGTCTGCTCTGCGTCAGCCTGCACCTGGGTCAGCGGCGATATACGCGGCTTGGGCGCAAATACAAACGGCTTGAACACTGACTCGGCGGCATTTGGCGTGCCAGTAAACCAGTGGCACGAAATTGAGCTGCCCTTGCTGCTGAGCATTGAAACGTTTGCCGCTCGAGACCCAGCACCGCTCGCCACGCGCAGCGTCTCGAACATATTCTGCTGCGTGTAACTGCCATCACCGTCGGGTTTCGGGCCGCACCAATCGACTTCAGGCGCCTGCGCCTCCGCATCATGAGCAGCCGCAAAGTTAGCGGCCGTATCCAAGCCCTCGCTGGACTTGTCAATGGTTGTGGTTACGGTTAGTCCGCCGCTGGGCACACGCAGGCAGCTGGCCTGCAGCTTCTCGGCGGCCCAGACTTTGCCGGCGCTGCTTAATATCCAGGCAGCCGTGGGATCACACACTATAAAGTTCAGCTTGGCACTGTCATTGCTGTGCTTGGCTACCAAAGCCCCAATACGGTCAACGGCCGCCTCCGCCTCGTTGGACTCGGCCAGCGTGATGCTGTAAAGGACATGTTAATTAAAATATACTTGCTTATATATAGGTAATTTAACTTACCGCACAATGTCCGTGCCCAGCAAGCTGTCGCTGTCTGCCGCCTGCTGTTCCCCATCACTCCATGTCAAGCTGACGACCACGCCTCGTTCGTTAGCACCAAAGTCGCCGCCCCAAAGGGCCGGCTTCGGTTTTTGCAATATAACGCGCAGAGCATCGGCCGACGGCTCTAAAGCAGCGCCGCCATCAGTCTGACATGTGGCAAGTGTTCACTATGAGTCATTAAGGTATGTCTGGCTGTTGGCTTACCTTCCCCTCCAGAACGTCGCTGACATCATAGTAGCAGACTTCCGTTGACACGCCTAAGCCGCCTACGGCGTCTGCGTCCTCGGCATTGCGACCGAAAATTAGAGAGTCAGATGCACAGTTAACGGGTAGCACAACAAAGCAGTCGGCATTGGAGGACATTTTTCTTATAGTTTAAATAAAATACGTGCACAGACACAGGCGGATTTGCAAAATTGATTTTTCGCAACAGCTGTTGCAACACAGTCTGTTGATGCTAATTGGTGTCAACAGAATTCTGTTAGTTGACAGCTGATTTTGCTTGAAGTTGGCTGCGAGCGCAAAATTGCGCTGACTGCGCTGCAAACGATATTTCATATATCGACTGCTGTAATTCATCGATTGATTTTCTTGTTCTTGCAATATTACCATTGCGAGTCACGGTCGCAGTGGTCTAAAAACGTTGTAAAAGTTGCAAGTCGACTGAAAACGCTATAATTTATAATGTTTTAATGTAGCTTCGGGAAGCTAGAAAGTGTTATTAAAAGCGGTTTATCTAGTAAAAGTGTCGCAGTTTGAAACGTCGTCAAAGAATTGCATTTGTATACAGCAGTCAGTGTGCAGGTGTTGTTGTCTCATTCGGGCGTAACATCGAGTTGGGTTGCAGTGCGAGCGAAACAACAACAAACAAGTTACAAGGTAAATACTCGTGCATACTGTTGTTGTTGTTGTTGTTGTTTTTGTTGCTGCTGCTGGTGGATGTTCAGCGCCTTTTTTGTGTGTTGATTATTTTACTTGCGTGCTCTGTAACTCGTGGGCGGCTGAATCGTCACCGTCCGGCTTTTGCGGCTAAAGAAAAACTAGGTAAATCCTTGGCAACTTCAAAATTGAACGCAAAATCAAGAAGAAAAGCCTTCGAACGAGTTCGCAAATTGGACAAATAAAGTGCCTGGTAAAGAAAATCAATATTCACATTGTGTCCGGTTTTCCAATAAGAATATATATAGTACGCTCACGAAAACAACAAACGCGTATCGAAAGAATTTCTTGCTTAAACGCTGACGGTGGGCCTGCTACCGCTCCCTAAACAGATATTTCTTTTATGCCTCTTGGCTTAGCTTATTTGTGTATGCGTACGTGTGTGTGTGTGTGTGTGTGTGTGTGTGTGTGCGTGCGTGTGCCGCTTCGCGTTGCTTGACCACTTTGACCGCGCGCATTTTCATGTTGTTTTTGGACTGAAACTAGTTTTCGTTGTTTTTTTTTCTGTTGCTGATCTTGTTGTTGTTTTTGTCTTGGGTTTAATTTTCACCCTGCCAGTGAATGTGATGACGTTTTAAAGTGCCCATGTCTAGTTAATTTTAATGTAATTGCAGAAAATCAATAATTTGAAGCTTTGGGTATACACATTTTTGTGGAAAACTGGTTGAAATTCAATTGTGTGGCATGCTTTAAGTGTGAAAGCGGAACACAAACCACCCTCGCAATCGCTGCCTGCTCCAACTCCTACTCCGGCGCAGCCCAGCCCAGCCCCTTCAGAGCATCTTGCTTCAAGTGATGAAAATACATACATATGTACATATAAAATATATACACATAAAGTGCCGTTACATTCCTCCCCCAATGCGCCCCCTTATGCGGCATTTCGCGTTATATACACACACATACGTTCATATTTATGTATATACACCATTATATACATCTAATCTTTGTGTGTATCTGTCTGCGTGTAGGCGTTCTCGTCGAAAGTGCATTGCTCTGCCGCTACCCCTGCTCCAACGTCATATTGTAAACATTACAAAAGCTGCGTGCGGGACGGCCTCGTTTTATCCGTCTGTGTATGTGTGTGTGTGTGTGTATCAGTGTGTATATGTGTTCAGATCTTTTATTTACACTTACCGTATAAATGTTGGTCCCGTAGCAGTTGGCAACACGCGCATCGGTGCCGCTACCTTTTCGGCAGTTGGCAACGCGTTGACCCAATAACGGTACAACGAGACACCCGCATACATAAGCACACACACAGACTGAGCATGAATGAAAGCCAGCATGGCTGGCACTCGGCGGCTGTCGGTATTATGCTTGTGCCGTCGTTGTTGTTGTTGTTGTTGTCGCTGCTGCTGCAGTAGCTACAAAATCTCGGCAGATGCGACCCACATATGCATGCGCATAATATTTGTGCTAATTAAACATAATATGATATTGTACCGTGGCGTAAGAACAACACTAAGTGCATTTTCAAATTAAAACAATAGCTGTGTAGAATTTAAACTATGTTTTATTTTTGTCGGTGAATTTGTTTACATCAAGACAAACAGAAATGAAAAAAAAGCGAGCCACCGTCAAGTTCAATGAACCAACCAAACATTGGAATGCTCGTCCGTTCGAATGTCCATGTGTGTGAGAGTGTGAGTGTATTTGTGTGATCGGTGCACGTAACCGAAATTTGTTGGTATTTTTATGGGATTCGATTATTGTGCCCATTAGTCGGACGATGTTGATATGTTTATCGCCATAATTTGTGCGCCCCAAATCAAAATCAAATACAACAACAACAGTTGTTGAACGAAGTGCGTTGGCGGCACCAACAAAATGTATACCTTGACATTGACAGCTTATGTATGTACGTGTGTGCGTGCATGTTTTTGTGTTTTGCAAACAGAACCTACTTTTGTATGTGTGAATTGTGCGCTTATGCTGTCTCGCTCTTGCGCACAGTGTATTTGCGTTGAGTATTATTTAATAAATAAACCGGCCCGGCCTGCCGCTTGTCATTGTTTTCGTTGTTGTTGTTGTTGTTATTGTTATGATTAATATTATTGTTAATGAATGCGCCAATGACCTTGCATATGGCACCTGCAATGCAACCGGCCACTGCAAATATCGATAACACAATTAGCCGATATATCGATTGAAAGACTTTCGTTTTTGTGTCAACTGTATAGAACTTGCCTAAAGGCAATTAAGCTTAATTGTTTAGCTATTTAAACATTTTCATCATATATATTTCCTGTTATTTATTTTAGCATTATACGCTTTTCAAGGTTAGTTGACTGCTTGCACGTGTCAATTGACCAAATCTAATCATTTTCCGGTAAGTATCGTCACGCACAGAAATTGTAATATACAAAAATTCGGTCTGTCATTCAAAATTTCACAGTCTCTGTTAAAGGATCTAGCAGCTTATACTCATATGTGACAATGTATATATATATATATATTTATATATTATTAGGCGTATCTTAAGTTTTCTTACTAAAGGAAGAGTGTCTAGCTGGTCAAACCTAAAGAAAGTCGAACTTAGAGTTAAAAAGTTTCTTCAAAAATCAGCGTTTCGAATTTGAGCACTCTGTAATAAAATACATATAAGCAAATGCATATAAAATGACAATTTTATGCAAGTAATTAGAGAACCAGCTTAGATGTTTGTATACATACAATTATGTTTGTGATAAACCGTTTTAAACTTATAAACTCACAATTTTATATTGTGGAATATCAATATTTCCTATATTCAATCTCCTGTTTTTCTTTATAATATCACGATATCAAAGATATGTTAACTCAAATAATTATAAACGTTTGTTTTAATCACATATAAGTTTTTTCTGCCTACAAGATTTGCATATCTTAAATCCTGTAAACTCTTTAAAAACAATCAAATACAATAAAAAGCTTCGGCTAGTATTTATATATTCAAAAAAATATGATTGAAAAATGTTAGCTTATGAAACACAATATTATTGGAATCCTAGCTAACTTCTACTAAAAACATGTTTCCCAAGTTTTACGGGGTATTAGAAATATTAGACATTAATGAAGATATAGTCAATTGTGTTCCAGATAGACTTGTTTCTTGTTGAAAAGTCGAGTTTATGTAAGTCTAGGTTTAATTATTTATATATTTTCTTTGATTTTGCAGTGGGTGTTTGTAAACAGACGCAATTCCTTCATCAGTAAATGCAAAACTGGAGTTGTTAGACTCCAGCAGCAACGACGACACCATTCAGTCCACCAACTTGAATAGAAAATTAATCAAAATTAAAAAATTTAAGCTGGACGATATGAAGGAAATGGTGGGCGGCTGTTGCGTTTGTTCGGACGAGCGGGGGTGGCCGGAGAACCCGCTCGTCTACTGTGACGGCCAAAACTGTACCGTTGCCGTGCATCAGGCATGCTATGGCATCGTTACCGTGCCCACTGGACCCTGGTATTGTCGGAAATGCGAGTCCCAGGAGCGCACCTCGCGTGTACGCTGCGAGATTTGCCCCTCACGAGATGGCGCCCTCAAGAAGACAGACACCAGCGGCTGGGCCCATGTTGTGTGCGCCCTGTACATACCCGAGATTCGGTTTGGCAACGTGACCACCATGGAACCCATTATACTGACTTTAATACCGCAAGAACGCTACTCCAAGAGTGAGTCATATTTGCAGTAGCTGTGGCATTCATTAACTGTTTTCCATCTCATTTACAGCCTGCTACATTTGCTTGGAAATCGGGAAGCCAAATCGTGCCAATGTCGGAGCCTGCATGCAGTGTAATAAGGCCAATTGCAAGCAGCAGTTCCATGTGACCTGCGCCCAAAGCTTGGGCCTGCTCTGCGAGGAGGCTGGCAACTATCTGGACAATGTTAAGTACTGCGGCTACTGCCAGCATCACTACAGTAAATTGGTTAGTATGTCTTTGTGTGTTCTTTGTTATACACTCATGCCTTGTCATATATATTGCAGAAAAAGGGCGGAAACGTCAAAACTATACCACCCTACAAACCCGTACAACATGACACCTCCTCCGATTCGTGCTCGTCGCCCGAGAAGGAAATCGATTCAACCATGAACTCAGCCTCCACCTCAGCGACAAGCATCAAAATAACCAGCAGCACATTGGCCGCCAGCTCCACAAGCCTGTCAAGCAGTGGCAGCAATGTCTCATCCTCATCCAAGCAGCGCAAATCAAATGCCTCCGGTAAATCATCGATGTCATCGGGCAACAGCTCCGCAGCAGCAACGGGCCTACCAAATTCCTCAAGCACCTCCAATTCAGGCGTTGCGGCAACTCCTTCAACTGCAAACAGCTTTCTATCCGGCAGTAGCAGCAGCAACTCCGCCAACAATAACAATAATGCCATAAGCAACAGCTTAGCGGGCGCTGTCGGCGGCAACGTTGCCGCCACACATGCCTCAAACCCTAGCGGTGCCAGCGGCAGCGGCAGCGGCAGCGGCAATTCCATCACAGGCAACACTGTATCTGGAGCCGGCAGCGGCAGCGGAAACAGTGCAATAGGGCCCAGCAATTCAAGTACTAAATCATCAGCCACCAGCTCGAGCAGCAGCTATAAGGATAAGCATAGTAAAAGCTTGGGCAAACAGTCCGGCTCAGGTGCCAGCAAGGACGGCAAGGATAAGGATGGCGGTAGCAATTCATCGAACAACAGTTTTACACACTCATCAGCCTCGTCATCGTCCTCCTCCTCATCGTCGTCGCGCGAGAAGTCATCAAAGTCATCGAAAAGCAAGGACATCGCGAAGGAAGCCACCGTCGTAGCTGCCAGCAGCAGCAGCAGTATTGCCACAAGCAGCAGCAACATGCCCAGTGCCAGCAGCATAACGGCCAGCAGCAGTTCCAGCTCGGCATCACATGTATCTAGCAGCGGCGTGACTGCCGCCTCGATAAGTGAGCATAGTAATCATGCCCAGAACCTGAGCACGTCTGCCTTGCCCAGTTCAGGGGCCGGTGTCACGGGCAAACTGCAATTGGCCAGCAATTTGGGCGGCGGCTTCGGAGCCGAGCTGCAAACCACAAGCAACAGCAGCAACAGCAATGCCTTAAAGGAAGCGTCTGCCTCCATGACTGGCAACAGCAATGCAGGCAAATTGGAGGGTTTGTCGGGCGCTGGTACGTCCGCAAACAGCGTGGCCAATCCACTTGGCCTCGGTGGCAGCAGCTCCAATTCAAGCAATAATTTGAGCAGCAGCAGCAGCAAGACAGTTCCATCATCATCGATTGCAACAGCAACATCCACAACAACGACCAGTCACAGTCAGCCGTCGGCAGCGAGCAACTCCTCGGCGTCCAAAAAGCGCAAGGTGGACGCAGCCAAATCGATCACCAGCATCAACCTGGACGATCACAACAGGTAATCAACGATCATGTATCAATTAGGCGACTCTGCTTAAACATAAATCTTCGATGTTGCAGCTCATTTCGGAATATTATCAAGGATGTGCACGTGACGCTGACGCCTCTGACGGACTTTGAGAAGGAAATCGAGAAGAGCTCCAAGCGGGTGAGTCAATTTCTAGTTTTGTTTATATCTCTGGCTCTCTGCGAGCACGCCCTATAAATAGTACAATAAGCAATTCAACGGCAGCAAGAGCAAAAGCTCTTGAGTCAATTCGACACTCTTTGAGTTCTCTTCAACTGCCAACATGCTCTCGCCTGGCTACAAAGTTGCCTTTTGAATAATAGTCTTCTAATCTTGTACACTTGTCTACAACTTGTCAAGTGCCAGCGCTGTTGCCGCTCTCGGCCCCCACACCCGACTATCAGTTGGAGAGGATGGGCTGGCTGGTTTGGCCAACACGAATCTATAACCATTTCACTCGCTCGCTTCGCGCAGCCGACGGCGCAGGCGCTTTGCCAACTTTCGTATCATATTTATAAGTAGAAATGCAATTATTAATGCATACACCTTTCTGAAAATATATAAATGAAACGTCTAGAAACACAAGGTGCGCATCTCGATACATGTGCAATATATGTTATGTAGGTGCGCATACCCCAAAGAAATGCTCGAGAATTTCGTGTTTTTCAATAATACCCTCTATATTTCTATGCGCCCGCAAAGGGTGTTATCATTTTATAAATTCTGTGACACATCTAACGTAATGCCATGCCAGTATCATCAGTTTATATAGCCTGGATCAGCCGTCAGTCTGTATGTTTCTATGCAAACTAGTCTCACAGTTCAAATGCAGTCTCTCAGTTAAAAGTCAGTCGAAACGATCCACTATATCATGATGTAGTTATTTATTGCAAAAAACCCTAAAGCTTTTTGCTCCTAAGATATCTCTACCGAACTTGGTTTTAGCAGTTCTGACACATCATCAAAATCTTACCAGCATTCAATATAGCTCTATAGGATGAATCGGTATAAAAATAAAAACTATTAGGTTTTTCTATATCTTCATATTTAGGCCAAACTGGGCATTTAGTAATTTCACTATGCTTCTTATTAATGGAAAAAAATCTTATTTACCTCGGGCTGTCATAGAACTGATTGGTTAAATGTAAACAACTTGTATGAAGATGCTATAAGCTCTTTACTTTTTTTAACCTGAATCGATCTACCCGGCTATTTCTTATTTATTTTCTGTTCTCGATAAAAATAAAGGTATATATTATACACCTTATGAAGAGAAAAACACCCAAATCTACACGTAAACGATAATAATTTAACAAATATTTGTTTTACACATTTAACAATTTATATGTATACATAAATATCAATGTTATACTTCTGTTATACCAGCAACAGCATTGTCTTAACATAATATAAAAATGTTAATTATGTTTACATAATTATACGAGCATTATTTTAAATCAAAATCCAAGCTAATGAAATGGGTAAACAAAAATATGATATAAAGTTGTGAAAACTGAAGTTAAATTCAAAACTATGTCTGATAAGGTAAAAACTTTGTCAATGGTCGCATCCGAATTGTAATTCTCTGGTTTGAGAGGCGATTTGAAGACGCGATATAATTTCTGTAAGATCCAAACGAAAACGTGAAAAAGTACTTTGAAGTCATTTATTTTAAATGTTATGAAATATTGAAATTTATTCTCAGCAAAATTAGAGTTTGAGCTTTGTTTTTTCTATTGATTTTATTTTTGCATGCTATCGAATCGTTTTTTTTTTTCCAGATACAGGGTATTTACTAATCAATGATTAGAGCGCTTAAACATGTTTTGATTTGCAGCAATTAGGGTATTTTTTATTTTCGCTGTCTGTTTTCGATTCGATCAAGTATTTTCCATTTCTATTTTTCGATGTGATTGATGTACATTGACGTGTCCATGCCCCATTAATTTGCCTTTAATAACAAAAAATATGCACGCCAAAACGATGCATATTCATTTTTAATTAAATGCAAAGTGTACGTTAATTTATGAACAACATAACCACAAACCACAAAAATAATTAGAATCAATGTTTGCTCGACCGGAAGATGCCCTGTTGGCTGTGGCCCTAGAGTGTGCAATATGTTTCTATAATGCCCAACAACTGTGGCTACAGGGTATTAAATGAATAATTACTGATTTTTAGATTAACATTTGCCTTGTCATTTGGCTACTGGAAAATTCGGCAATATGCGATGTTAAATTTTCAATCAAATTTACGACAATGATCGCATTGAAGACGTCTTATACTAGGCAACATTTTGATTTGTTGGGCCTGTTTGGTTGCTTTTGTTGTTGTCTTTTGTCTTTTGTTTTTTCTTTGGGTATATTGCCATCCCTATCGTTTGGCTGCGGCGACAAACATCTCGTTGTCATTGTCGCTATCGTTGTGCCGTGTGCAGACAAAAGTTGCTCAGTCTCAGCCCACGTAGCGCCAGGGTATCGGGCCCCCCAACAAAAAGTTGACAATTTTCTAGCACGCTCAGTCGAAAATCGTTGCTAACCGAAGCCAAAAGGCTCTACTACAATTAAGAAAGAACATTTTTTGCGAATTTTTATTATTACGAACGAAAAGTAAATATATTCGAGAGTCTCGCACACAGCTGCATATACATCCAAATATATATACATATATATATATATATATATAGAAAAAGTCGTACTGTGCTCTGAAAATATCGGTTAAAGCTGCCACCAAACTGCATATGATGAAGTTTAATTATAGAAGCGCCGCACAAATTTGGCACACATTTTGACACCACGAAAAAAAAAATAGAAATAAAAATAAAAAGAATACCAAGAAATAACGAAACTAAAGAGAATCAAAATGTAGCTCCATTGGGGAAACATTTCCCACGAACTCGTATTTATAGATCTGTTTTTTAGTGAAAAAGCTTTTTGCCTGGCGTGAAAAAGAAAACACACACACAAATGTGTGGAGGCTAGTAAAATGTGCGTAAAGTTTCCAGGACACTTCCAATATAGAAACTTTATATATATCTAGATATTTATCTTATATATATTTGTGCAAAAGCATAAATCCGAAATGCTTGATGACCTTTATGATGGAACCTGGCGGTATTGTAAACAATCGGAATGGAGATTCGCCTAGCATTCAATTAGCTAATCATGATAATGCATTTTTCAAGTCGAATTGTTGAGCTGCACAAGCGTAGCAAGAATTTTCGCACAACATTTTCGCCCTGTTACCGCACATAAAAAAGAAAAATACAAAAAGAAAAACAGCAAGAGAATCGCCCGAATGATGTGAAATGAAAAACTTTTCAATGCGCGCGTGTGTGCATGTGTGTGTGTGTGTGTGTGTGTGTGTGTAGAACAAGTTGAAAAACCACAGACGCCGCTGCCTTGGTTGCTTTTGAGATACACACACACATACACACACACACGCACACACACACTGAGCTACGCACACAGTCATATTTCCATTCCACTCTCTGGCGAGATATTAGATGAAAATTGTTCCGCATCTAAAGTTTCTCAAATCAACTCAAAAACAAACCAAACAAAAATATAGAAAAATCGTATAAAACTGAAGACGGAGCAAAAAGCCAGCGCCGTGTGCCGTGTGCACTCACAATTCTATAGATTAGTTTGCGTTGAGCAATCTTCCAGTTCAGTACTCAGTTCCTCCGTGTGTGGTGTTTGTGTCGATGTAGGTGCTGTTCCTTCACATATATCCATATATATGTATATATATATATATATATATATATATATATATATATATATATTATATGCATATCTAAAACGTGGTGGCCGCTGTAACGATATTGCACCTGCACTAACCAATTCAGTTACCAAAAGTAAACATCTTCATTCGCATGCATGTATACATATTTGACCCACTGTACCGCAAGCCCAAGACACGGACCGGGACAGTGACTCAGACTGATTGGAATAGATGGATTTTGGTCATAGAGAAGCGAGAAGCGTTCATATTTTTATGTGTTCACCTGTGTTATTTTTATAAAAGTTTCTCTCGCAGCCAGAGACAGATACACATTTATTATTGCTCAAATTTGTTTGCAAGCAACAATACACGAATTTTTCCAATTCAAAAAGAAATATTTCTGTTTTTCTTTTAGCCCATCATAGATAGATAGTGTGTGTGTGTTTGTATGCGTGGATGTTGGGTAATTTTCTTTAAAAAAAGAAAACATATTCATTAGCATACACTATGAACGCTTCCATAATGTTGATTATGACAGATGATTAGCTAAGAGCTAAAAGAATTCGGACTAAATTTCCAAGCATATTTCGATAAATACCTTGTTGTGATCATTTAGATAGATAAAACAATCTCTAAGAGCAGACTTAAGATGAAGATATATAGATTGAATGCGAAAAGCTATTAGAGAATAGAATTTAGCACATGTTCTAAAATGTTTACAGACTTTAGATCAGCTAAAGCAAACAGAGTCGAAATATAAATACAGATTAAAAAGTTATCAACATGTCAGTTCTAACTTATATGTAAATATAATTAAAGTATGCTTTATTTAAAAAAATGTTCAAAGGCTACTAAGACTTTAGATCAGCTACCTGTTACGAGCATTTAGAACAACACAGACATTGTTTTAACACTTTTATTACATGTACTAAAATATATAACATGGCGAAATTTCAAGCTCTTTAAACTCAGATATGGACTTTAAAATAAAAAATAAATATATGAAAATAACATATATTGCTTGAAATTTGTGTTTGTAAATGTACTAAAAAGTATGTAAACAGCCTCAGCTAGAGCTTATGCAGACTTTTAGATCAGTTAACAGCATTGAGACTAACATGACATGAATATTTAGAACGACACAGACATGTTGTTTTACATGTACTAAAACATAAAACAATGCTAAATTTTAAGCTTTTTCATACATGAGCTCATTTAAGAGGAAAAATTAATATATTGAAGGAAAATATTGCTTGAAATTTGTGTTTGGTACATGTACTAAAATGTAGAGTTAATGCAGACTCTTAGATCAGCTACTTTTCGTCTCATGCAGCGCTTAAATCATCATCATCACCTCCACCAGAACCAACAGAACAAGAATACAAAAACCAACATCTCCATCAAAAAACCAG